GACTGTATGCCGTTGGTTGGCCGTGGAAGTATCGTCATTATACTCCGCTGAAGTGTTACATAGTTGCCGTATCGGGCACCTGGATCCTGGCAGTGGCCATCTGCTGCCTCTATTTGTTTTTTCGATTTAAGTTCATCTCAGGCGTCGTTCACACTGTAACCGTTGCATCTTTGTCCGTTTCGCTTACAGTGGCTTGCTCTGCCTACAGTGCTTTGTGGCTCCGGATCAAGTATCGAAGACAACGTCGAAGAGGGGTTGAAAAAGACAAAAGGCTCGCAATAACGTTGTTTCTTATCACAGGAATTTTCATCGTGACTTGGATGCCTTTTGAGGTTATCATTATAATTGTCCATTTTTGCCACTATTGCAAAAACCCATCTCACAGGCTCGTTTATGTCATAAAATTACTTCAGTATAGCAATTCGTTCGTTAACACCCTTGTGTATTCATTTCGAATGCAAGACTTCCGTAGAGCTATCCTTAATGTCTTCCGCAGCGGTTCTTTGAGTTCCAGGGGCAACATGCGGGTCAGAAACGCAGCAGGGATCACTCTGACATCTGTCTCCAATCTCGTCAACTCCTGCTCAGCGGTGAATTTAAACATCATATATGGTGAAAGCCAGTTGAAGAGCAGCTATGGTGCAACAGGGCATAGACGACTGGCAAGGAGGAGAGCTGATTTATTTCTGATGCATAAAAAGGGAAAATATTCTCCTAGTAAACTGCACGCTGCTGAAAACGTATGATGAAGCGTGAGATTTATCAATTTCAAACCGTTTGAGAATGTTTGGTGTTTGTGAAAAAGCAACTACACTTTGTGTGGGAAAGGTTTCTTTTTTTTCTTTAAAAATATCAGCTAGTTTAATCATGCTATACCAGCTTAAATTCTGTGAAGTCAACCAAGCCTCTTCGGATCTTTCTTTTTCGATTTCTTTTTTTAATCAGCCTTAAGACTCAGCCTTATGACACTGATAATGCCGATAGTTGCATTTAAGGAGGCTCCATAGGCTTTTTGCTCAATGTTGGCGGACGCCAAAAGGTAATAACCAAGGTTCGGAGTATCGTTTACTGTAGTAACAATAAAATCAAAATAATTCTCGTCATTAAGCTAAGGCTCCACGAAGGGAGGCGCTCGCGAGTGATAATTAGCGTAAGGAATTCCAACGAAGGAAACGCGATAAATCTTACTCGAAAGAACCCTATTTTCTTTGTCGCAAAATATTACGTAATGGAATAGAACTTCGTTGAGATTGGAATGTAAGCATGCGTAGACTTTCGAATCTGTCGTCTTTTGGCAATCTTTCCCACGGTGTATTCTTTTCGGTTGACCTCTTTTTCGGGTATAAAAGGCCTATGAATATTTCGGTAGAAATTTCTGGAAACTCTGGATTTTATCCCAAAAAAACTGTATTGAGTTAAAGTGTTTTTCACGCACCTCTTCAGATGACAATGGCACGATCGTATCGAGCCGCCATGTTTGTTTTGCATGTTGACACTTTTTAAGCTCGCCCTATGTTCGCACCCAAATCTCGCGCGGTCAAAAACCCTATGTAGCTCCTTAAACGTTTTTCAAACATTACTAAATACCTCTGTCTACCAGCAGGCCTGGTAACATCAAAATCAAATTCACAAAGGAAGAGAGAGGGGATAAGATGGTTTCAGCTAATTTCTAAGCAGCGGGAAGAAGAAAAGAAGTGCGCAAAAAGAAATGAAGTTTAAGTCATGAAATATGATAATTATATCATTAGGACTAAGGACTACGTTGGGATTTTTAAATTTAAGTCCACTTTTAATTTCCTGAAACAAGAGAGGATTAAATTGAGATATTTCATTCCTCCATGTTAGTTCAAATACAAAAAGATTCCTATAAAATGACGTTTAGTGCACTCACAGTTTCGGTTTAAAAAAGCCTCTTTGAGTCTTAAATTTGGTTCACTCGGTTGCTGGATACTTTGAATTTAAAAAAATGGCTCGAGGTAGACCATCTTCCCCTGGAGTAGGACCAATTTAGTCTCTTAGCTCGCAATAATTCCTACTTGTCAATGATGACCAACTTCGAGCGGTTTTTCGCCAAAAACAAGGTAACTCACATTTTTGAAAGGCGGCAAATGAGACAATCACTATCAAAATATAAAATCATTCCAGACAGGCGTATTTTTTTTTCTATGATTAATACAGCAACAATTGCCAACGGAACTCGTCAATGATATTGTCGTTCGATCGTTCCGTTAGGTGATATTTTAAAACGCTGTAATGTCATGCGAGGGGCAACGATTTCAGTCCCAGACTTTGAGTGTCTTTATTTATTTACCAATTTTAAAAACAATCAATGAAACTACACACAGAGGAATTCGAGACAGATTCATTTTTTACATCCAATGCAGCAACTGTTAATTATGAGACACTTAACCCAAATCGTCATCGATATTGCCCTTCGCCTGTTTCATTCAATGATATTGTTGTCTGAGGTGTAATGTCTATTTCAGTCACACATTTAAAATACCTTTACGTCATGTCAACAACGGATATGTAAAATACGTCTCCCAAAACGAAAATACTCTTCTTTAGATACCTACGTATCAACGAATTAAAGATCCCCTCTAGAAGAGTTCGACACACACACATAAAAAAAACGACAACAACTAAAAAAGAACACAGTACCTAAATTAAATACACCAATATTGCTTTTGTTTTGAGAGGCCAACATAAGTAAACGTGTGAGTCGATAAGAATGTAACACAGGATGTAAATAATAAAAAAAATGGCAACTTTATGGATAAAGTCACCGTTAATGATACGACTAATGGTGTCATAATTCATTCTACGTTCATGAAGAGCCTGTTTTGGTATTATTCCTAGAGAGCAAAGTATAATTTGCTTTGCTATGCTTTGGTGTAAAAGTGAACTTTTGTATCAAAATGGATTGTTCAATATTCGTTTCATTCACGATAGCTTTTTTCTTAAAGGATTCTTGCCCGACAAGTATTTTAATTTGAACATTGGTGATTTGCAGAAGGCAACAATATGAAGATGATTCAAACGAATTTCTCAGAGTCTGCCCACACTGTACGTTTTTGGCCGTCGTAAAAGCTCCATAAGTCCTTCTTCACTATCCTTATATTTTGAAATTGAACTTGAAACTGCCAGCTTTATGACAATAACAACGAAATTCTACTCGCCAGCCGGATGCACCTATATTTGTTCACAACAGGTCCGCGTGCCTGCTTGCCGTACAATTGACTTAAGCAGAAATAATCAATTTTAAAAGGTATAATAATAATTGAATAAATTTGATAAATTTATTTCATCCAACCATATGACCAAAATTCCAGAACTTTCAACTTAAGCCTGAACTGAATTTTGTAGCTCAAAAACCATGACTAAAGTAAACACCTTTTTTTTTTCATCCCGTGGGAAAATTTTCATGTCGCCATATCTATTTCAGGGTGGTTCAACGAAGACTAAGAAAATTTCTACACACAGGCAGTAAACTTAAACCTAATAATAAAGTTTCGTTTACTTTTCCTTTCTTCTTCGTTTTGCTTTTTCTTGTTCTACCTGAAAGAAGAGGTACGATTTTTGTGCTGTACACAACATCCTTCTTGACACTTAATTCATAGGCATAAGTGAAATGCCCTTGTTTATGATATCGTGTAGCAAGTTTGCGGATGTAAAAATATTAATCTACTGCAGTAAATGCTAGTCCCTTCCAGGGAAAACAAAAAGAAAGAACTTTGAGATAAACTGAATAAATGAATTACAATAATTTTGGAATAAATTAAATGAAATTGTTTAGTCGAACTAATTACATTACATATTTTTTTATCAGACTCGTGATGCAAGGATGCTCTTCCGTCGCAAGCCACTTCCCACGTTTCATTGGGGAAAAATGAATTTTTTTCACCAAATTGATTTTACTTCTTTGTTGAGAAAAAATAATTTAACAACCTTGCCAAGCAATTGTTTTCTGTTAAGTGCTCGACTTTTGTTGTGCTGTAATGAATGAGTTGAAAGTAATCCGATCCGACCCTTGTGTTTACGCACAGATTTCTGGGATCGCTATGGGGCAAACACTGCAACTCGCTGAAAAGTACGGCGAGAGTTTGTTCCTACGTCCAAAGAAAAGATTTTGGAGAGAGATTATTCCTATTCTTGCCGCTTTTTTACCAGTAATGGATTTGGGTAATACTGATACAACAGAAGCGTAAGTTTTTCGAATTGTTTGATCAACCATGAAATTTGTAGTAGAATCTACCGATAAACTTGTCTCCACGCGCAAGATTTATAATGAATTTGACATCGCGTTAAGGTCTCGAAATTTTAAAAAACTAAATATAAATCGCAGAGAAATAACTCAACAAAGCCTTTTCATTTTTTGACGGGTGTTAAGTCTACTTCTAGATCCTTGCTTAGCTTGGTAATGCAAAAAAGCGCTACAACAGCTACCTCGAGGCAGCAGGACTGATTGAGTGGTGTGCTTGAGCGTTGAATATTATCGTCGTTCATTAAAGTCATCAAGCACCTGCTTCTCTGTTGTGATCAGTGAGAACGAACTAGCGCTGATAACCGGCTCAAAACTGAACCCTGACGATAAGTAGGTACAAATGTGTCGCTTCATATATCCACAGTTTCTATCGGAGTTACCGTGATCTTGCTTTTCTTGACAAGATCCTTTAAGTAGTTCGAGAAGAAAGTTACAGCTCAAAGGCCTTTGGATTTTCTCTAACAGACTATCACTTGACCTGGGGATTTCCTCATGTTTTTCATCGTTTATTTCGTCCGTTCAGAGAGCACCAGCAGCTTGGTAAAAACAATTTTCATCTCCGCTGACAACGAATTCTCTCCTTTGAGGAAGTATTTTTTCAAACGTAGTAATTCGTTTATTTAATACGTTGACAAGTATGAAAACAGGCTGTACATATATAAATACAACTGAGAAGACTTAAATAAGTTGTTTCCTAGCAATTTATGCCCAATTTTGTAATAATTTATGTCAAGACTATTACGCGATGGCGATTTCACATTAGACCTTACGCAAGGTCTAGAGAGGAGTTAATCGGTACGTTTTATAACATATTTCATGGTAATTCTAACAAAAACTCACACTTCCCTCGTATTAAGATTGTCTTTATCCCTCTATGACAAAACTGCGGTGAAAAAGTGATAATATCTCGCCAAAACGTTTTTTTCGGATGTCAAAACAACCTTTTGCCACACATTCTTTCCAGCAAGCTGCAATGTTTCCAACGAGCTGCAAGGTTTTCCCCGTAGCGATCCCAAAAACCTTTGCACAAACACAAGGATCCGATTACTGGCAACTCACTCATTGAAGGAGAAATTATTTCATATTTAAGAAATATCGATTTTATTAATAGAACTCTCTAAACCTCAAAAACCATCATTTCTCGTCACAGCTATTAAACTAATGTTCCTAATCGTGTGGTAAAAGTTCCTTGAAAAGAAGCAGGTTAAGCCAGAAACAATATCAAAACTTACGTAAATGAGCTCTCGAATCACCTGTTTATAATTAACTGACCGAGTGAAACGGATTAGTTCTTATTCCATAAATCAATGTCGTCAAGAGGCACTTCGTAATTTGGGAGAAATCTATTATATGGACAACATTCACTTTGAGACCAATATGTAGGACTGCATTTTATAAAGGTAGCTGTGTAGTTTTGAAATCTGGAGTTTTTCGTTTGGTAATCATATTGAATAGTGCTGTTCGTGGGAAGATAATGCGATGAACGCCTCCAGTTCCTCTTTGCTTAATCAGGATCAAACGGACACAGTTTCCTCGGTGACTTGTTTCTACTTCAACGCTCCCATCTTCGAGTCTTCGGCCACACTCATCGTAAATGTTATCGCGTGTGTTTTAAACTCTTCATTTGCTATATTTTCATCGTTTGGAAACCTTCTTATTGTGGCCGTACTCTGTAAAACCAAATCACTTCACAAGCCAGCGAATATTCTCCTTGGATGGTTCGCCTTTTGTGACTTCCTGTTGGGATTTTTGGCAGCGCCAGCTTTTGTTGCTTTCAAAATAGCAGAGATCACAAGAAATTTTGAATCTTATTGTGTTCTGCGTTCGGCTTACGACTTTACTTCACAAACAACGCTTAGTGCGTCATTCGTCATACTGACTTTTATGACTATTGATCGATATTTATCGCTTCACCTTCACCTTCGATATAAGGAAGTCATCACCAACAGGCGTACCACAGGAGCAGTGTTATTCTCGTGGATTCTGTCTCTCTCGATAACTGTAACAAAATTATGGTTAGACCCGAAGACTTTTCTTTTCATCATCAAGGCTTCTAAACTGCTTTGTCTCTTCGTTATCGTAACAGTCTACATAAAAATACTTGTACTAGTGCGACGTCATCAGATCCAAATAGACCAACTGACTGTCTGCGATCGCCGTGGTTCTCAGAGAAGCCTCTATGATTTTTGTCGCCTCAAAAAGTATGCGTGCACTGTGGCATTCATTGTTGCTCTTATCATTGCTTGTTATGTCCCGGTTGTTTTCGTCAGCTTTTGTAAAGCTTACGTTTGTACAGAAGGGGTAGAACATGCTAAAATTATGTACACCCTTACGGTAACGTTTATCTTTTTTACATCGGCCCTGCATCCGCTGGTTTATATATGCCGCATGAGAGAAGTGATGGATGCAATCAAGAAATTCTTTAACATAAAATGAAAGCTGTATATATTGACTACAAAGTCTATTAATGATAGAGAATGCATAAAACTATCTAACTTATATAAATATACTGTGAAGAAATTGAGAACTATGTCAACAACAATAATTCTTTGCTGTTTTTGATAGTGATCTTAATGTAACGGTGGCCTCAAACTGAAAAACAACATCAAAAAAGTTGGCAATGAAATGACTTATATTATTCTAGTTTGTTGTTTCCTGCTGGGCAGACGTCATTATGAAAGTAATAGTTAGTAACAGCGTGAAATGATGGTAATGTAGCATCATTTATACCAGACCGCCCATGCAATAGTTAAATATTGGGAAGACGGGATCTGGTTCATGAATAAAATGTATATACATGGAGCGACTTGCACTTTCTATCACTACGCAAACCTTAGCGAAAGAATAAGCAGGTTTCACTGTAACTGAGCACTTTTTATAAATCACATGCTTGTCGTTTACTGCCGGTAGGTTAAATAAATCTATCTCCTTTATTTTCATTCCAATCTTTAAATCTAAATATATCAAAATTCATTTGCTACCCCGGCAATATTTTCTTATTTTGTTCGTTCCCTGTGGAATCGCCAAATGGCTTAATTCGTGTTAACGCGAAAAAAAAAAAAGAGAACAACAACAAAGCAAAACAAAGCAACACACAAAAAAAGAGCAAAACAACAAACTAAAAAAAAAAACTTTAAAGCTAACACTGATAAAGTCACTGAGGTTAAAAGTCATTATTATCAATTGATAGGGTATCAACATTAATAGAACAAAAATATCATGAACCAATACTCAATACATAAAAACACTCAAGTGTTCAAATGGTTGCACGAATGATGAAAAAATGAGGTCTGACTGAGTAAGATCAGATTTTTTCAAAGAAAAAAAAGTACTAATCTTTACGCTTTCATTAAACCATGCCCGAGAAAAAAGTTCGTCGTCTTGAAAAAAAGCATCTTCTATTTCAGAAAGTAATAATCGCTCCAAAACGTGCATTATCAACATCATTAATACTCAAGTAACTTCATGATTTATTTGCTTTATGTTAGAAATCGTGAATATTTTGTAGCTGCCCAAGGGTATGGATATGAATTAAGTGTTCTGCAGACGGTGTCGTTAATCTTCAGTCGGATTATATTACATCAAGAATGCAACGTTTAGATGTGGTGGTTTCTATGAGCTGTTTACCAATGATGAAAATAAGTTTTTGTAACACTTGTAAAATGTACCACATGGCATTGCCATACTCAGTGGATGAGTGCGAATGAATTTGGTCAAGTGAAAAAACTAGCTCAAACCAAAATTAATGTTCTTCGAAAAAACGTTTAATCTTCGTGAAAAGCTTGAGAAGATTGTACAGTAGGTGTCATCTATGACAACCCTGCTCAAAGAACCCTTTACAAAAATGGCGGACACGATTAGCATTCCGGTTTTCTATTCATGTAGATTAGCTCAGGTAGCCTCGTCAGTATGTCTAAGGAACAACAACGTTTAAACTCAAAGACGAGACTCTAGTTAAGCTAATTTATGTGAGTACAAAAGAATACTAATTGGGGCTGCCAATTATGCTTACTTTCTATCACTCTTGTTGTGCAATCCTCATTGACCAATTAGGAAAGAGACATTTGGGTAAATGCATGATAAAATCAAGAATACTAGAGCTATCGAATCCATTCTCCTCATAGTCAGTTTTATCTTATGCCAACTTTATTAACTTTATCAATGCACACCACTTATTATTGAGGTGAAAGGGAAGAGGATATATTGCGATTCCAGTGTTATTTAAACACTGCAGGAATACCTATTAAAGCTTTGCGCTCGAGTAGTCTGCGATATATAAAAAAAAATACAAATAATTCCGCGTTGCATAATATCATGTATTTCTCACTCTTTTATTTTTGCAAATGAAAAATGTTGCTTAAACGGTTACTTTCAATGGAACCAATTTCATCGTTAAACAATATCACCGTCTATGGGTATTCGTTCACACAAATGATTACCAAGTTGATCTTAACTCAGTATTAGACTGAAAAACGCACAAATGCATAGTAGCACGTACGAGCAATATAGATTCTCTAAATCAACTAACCTCACAGCAGGCTTTAGTTAAGATCTGTTTCGATGACAAAGTATTTTTTTTTACTGAAGAGACAAACGCCACTTCGAGCGAGTAATAAAACGTACCAAGCACAAACTAAGGTTAGCTTTTTTTTTTGTTGAACTCAACAAAATGTGCATGAGGCACGTAAAAACAGTCAAGACTTCATAAATCTTACCTCTTAACAGGCTTTACTCGTGATCTATTGCTATAGTTCAAGGGACTGTTTATTCCATGATCTTGTAGAACGCCATCACTACAGTAATGAAAAATACTAAGGGAAAGCATCACTTTTTTGTTTTTTTCTCTCTGTTTTGTTTTGCTTTGTTTTTTTTTTATTATTAATATTTGAAAATTATAGATATGAACTGCGGATAAAGACGTGGATATGAAAGTGGTCCTCGCAGTAGTGAACACTACTTGAGCAGTAGTCAAAATAAGGCCTGAAAAACATTCAGGCCTGTACGGGGTTTGAATCCATGACCTCTGCGATACCGGTGCAATGTTCTACTAACAGAGCTAACAAGCCAACTGGGAGCGAACAAGCCAACTGAGAGCTGGTCATTATTTCGGTTCTATACAACCCGTGAGGTGATGAATAAATGACCATAAATATATGAAAATCATATATGTGAACTGCCTGATGACCAGCTCCCAGTTGGCTTATTGGCTCAGTTGGTAGATTGCTACGCCGGTATCGCAGAGGTCATGGGTTCAAACCCCATTCAGGCCCGAATTTGATTTTTTTCCTTTGTAGCTGGGAAAGGAGTGATACGTTCAAAAGGATAACGCTCTCCAAGAGAGGATGAACATACTAGGTTGTCAAATCCTTTCATACTGACAAGCTTTATAACGAATGCCATCATTTTAAACTCTGGTTATTTCTTTATTCGTTTGCGCAGACGGATAATCAGTAAAGATGTCCCAAAATCATTATGGAGAGAGCTATCTTAAAATAGTTGAAAACGGGATGTATAGTACACTATCTCAACGGCTAAATACAGCATATTCTTCTTCTTCCAAAACTTATTTCTGTTTCTCTACTAATAAAAAGTTCCAGACAAAGTTTATCAAGGTTAAAAAACTTTTTTTTTCCATCACCCTTACATGTCAATCTGATCATGCTGCAGATTTTGTTTACATGACAACACATCCCTTCTTTTTTGGGGGTGGTGATGGTGGTGGTCTGCTTGCAATTTGCTGAATCTGCCTTTGAAGATTTTTTATCTGATCATTTCTTTCATTCATCGAGCGTTGCATGCCCGACAGAGCCTCCTGCAGTGTCTTGTTCTGATCCACGACGTTTTGTCTTTCTCTGTGCAACTGCTCCATGTTTGCTCTCATCATGTTCTGCATTTGCTCCCTCTGATCTTCCATGTCGGATCTCAGTTGTTCTTCCAGGCGTCGTCTATCTTCCTCTTGTTTCACTTTTAAAAGCTCCATCTAAATTGAAGAAAATAGACCAGTTAATGAAAGAACAATTAATGGATCACTTCTAAACTTTACCCCTATGCAATACGCAGCATTGTTATGAAATGGTTAAGTTTTAAGCAAAAAGTCGCGAAAGACTTTAATTTAAAGGGACGTTTTTAAGCATAGCTTGGCCTTGCAGACAACTCCAGTAACAGACGTTTTGCAAAAAGCAAAAAGCTCGTGAGAGAACACCACCTTTTTAGCAAGCACATGACGCTCAAAAACAGAAACACAAAGCTGTTTGAATTGTTCTTTGTCTGCACTATATCAAGTCTTTGTAACTATTTGTGGGTTTGATTGGAAGCGAGCAACGTAGCCATTGAGAGAAGAGTCATTGGGTCTTCTTGACCCCTCTCCTTCGAGGAAAACCAAAATGAAGTCTCAACAACACGCTAACGTTTCAATTTTTTCTTCTCACAGTTTACTACAGAGAAAAAAATTGAGCACACCTCCTTCTCCTTTCTAATTCGTTCTTCTTCCAGACGTGCCTTCTCCTCCTAAACATCAAAGACACAAGATGATGATAATGAATTAACAACTACATATTAAGCTTCATATGGTACAGTCCAAGGAACGCTTTTTTTTTATCACATGCTACAAGTGAGTACGATTTATTTTGTCAATGGTACTTAGCGGCTTTCTTTTTCTTCATTGTTTATCTTTTTCAGCTTTGTTTGTTCATTTTTGCTGAGTTTATCTGCTTGTTTTTTATACCTCAACTCTCTTTCTTTGTTCCATTTCTTGTGCCCTCGCTTCTTTTTCGTACGCCAGGTTCTCGTCAAAATCCTTGAGTTGCTGCAAATGTTCCATGTGCTTCTCCATCTCATTTTGCAGCTCCTGCATTAAAGAAAGCAAATAAAGTTAAGCAAAAACCGCTAAGATCTAAACATGCGTGATGTAATATAAAGCTCGTAGTTAATAAAATGAAATCAATTTTCAATTTAACGCCGGAGCCGTATAGATTAAGAGAGCATCAGTGATGATCATGAAATATACATAGACCCTAATCAATAATTTAACCCCGCTACAACGTCCTTCTCTCTCGTCGTGTCTAGTTTCTAGAAGAAAAGGTGTCGATTCAGGGCAGATTTCATGTTAGTACCTCAATTAATTGCATTTTTTTTTCATTTCTTGATTCTAAAATTGATCTGGAAAACTAACGCCAAACATATGCAAAATTAAACCTAGTCGCGGCTCAACCATAGACATTTTTCGCGATTTAGAAATGTCATATGCGTTTATTTTGATATACTTCTGGCTCCCTGTGATATTTTCTTTTAATTGTTTTGATTGGCCGTCGATGTTTTCGTAACACTCAATCAAAGAATCTTGGATTAGTGCAAGTGACTCACGGGGTGGAAATCAAGAAAAACTTGCGCACAAACGTCCTCTGCCCCGGTGGCCTCTGCCTTAAATCCTTGCTCGATAGCGCTGTAGCAGCCCATTACTTCAGCAAACGAAACTTTTGCGCCATCCTTTCCCCTCAATTGAATCAGAACTGGATCAAGGTGATGATGCTTAAGGCCAATCAGCAGCTGCTTACAGCTGTCCTTGGTAAGCTGGGTGTTTCGTTCTTGCCAGCTATTCAAGCCATTTTCCATGTACACCTATCGGAGTTATTTCAAAATTTGTTAACAAAGAGAACCTTACAATGAGTAATATGTTGTGTCATTTGCAGTGCCGGTAAAATTTATCGATAGTTCATCACTCATAGGCAGTTTTGCTGCTCTCAAGGAGCTTTATTGGTAATTACTGAACATTGGTTCACGTAAGGAGAACCCTCCATACGACCCCTTGACAAAAACTACGATGGTGACTCTCAGGAAGAGAGACATATTTATTTAGCACTGCAAATAATCCTCTCTTTAGAGAAAAAAGTAATAACTCAAGAGTATAAAACAACCGAAGTTGTTTTCAAGCGTCAGTAGCACATAAGTGTAGGAAATCCTACTAACCGTTAACTCGTTTAGGTACTTTTCTATATTAGCGGTGGATATTCCAAACGTCTCTTCCTCAAACACTTTCAGTGCTCGCTTAAGAGCTGCCAGCTGAGCTTGACGGATGATGTCTCTCTCACACGGCAGTTTTCCAGACATTTCCATTTCCATTTCTTTGTCGTATTCTTCAACGGCAGCCGTTTTGGCCTGGGTACATTTGGTCGAGACAAAGACATCCCAGGCGTTTTGGACATTGGGAACTGTTCCTGGGGTGTTTAAAGCCGTGATGTAGCTTGTTACCATGGTGGCGAGCGCTAAACAGTATCAAAACAAGACGATACATCATGAAGAAAATCTAAGTGCCCCTTTATGTCTCTATTTTGTCCGCACTTATCGCTATTGTCAGGAATTTTCCTATGACAGAAATAGATTTCCCGAAAGCTTTCAATTTTCTTTTTTTTTTGTTTCTTATTTTCTATCCACAAATTGCATCGGAATCAAAATTATGTTTACATTCCAGCCGAACTTTTAATATCATTGCTCACTTTAGTACAATAGTTTGTTCCTAATTCGTCGCCTTTGAAGATTTTTCCTGTAGAAATGTTTACGTTTCTGATTGCTAAAAAAGTTCGTTCATTTTGTCACTCTCACAAGTTTTAGAACTCGACACTCGTTTATAAGACTGTCGGTTAAACAAATGAGTCTTAACGGAGGGACATAAACCAGTAGAAACTGAGCAATGTAAATGAAGAAGTAACGGCATCAATTGTTCCACTACAAAGTGTAGAAATTTTTATCATTCCTAATGATAATGTTCTCACTATAAAGTTCCATAGGTGTTCCCAAACATTTAAAGACTTACTCGTGGACAAATTAACGAGCTGCATCTGGATGTTTTTGTCACTCAGTTAGTCAGGCGGTCTGTCGATTCCAAAGGATCATAATTATGGATAAGCAAAGCAAAACTTAAAATTTTTCTCAGTACTCTACCTTCACCAGTCACAAACTCTGCCTCGTTAAAGCTGTGCTTTGGAGTCAGTTTAGACCTCATTACTGATTTAAACTCATCGACTCCACGAATGAAGGACTTGTTAACGTCATCTTGTACTTCATCTCTGTTGAGGTTTAACACCACATCAGGATCAGACGAAGGGGGTGGCAACTTGAAGGCGTCAAAACCAGGAAAATAGCTGAGGATGCTCTCTGCCACTTCTTTTGCTTTGTCAGCTTTCGGCCCAGAAGTCTTGAATACCTGGAACAAGTACACATCTCTTTCTTTAAAAAAGACTGTTTCTACTGAAGCAGATTTTGTGTCGTTACCTTCAAGATACTTTGGTCTATTTCAGAAATGAAGTACTGTCTATGAAATGTTTCTATGAAACTAATGACATTTTATCTTTTATTGTGGAATGTTAAATTTGGTGAAAAAAAAATTTTTTATAAGGTAGTGGAAACTATGTTATTTTCTGAGGCAATTTCCTTGAGAACAAGTAAGGAAGATAAAAAATATATATAAATACGATTATATGGAAGACCAGTTCCCCTCGAATTGAGGTGCATAAATTTTTTTGAATAGATTTATTGATTTTACCTTGGTCAAGAAGTAATCCTTTATACTATGGCAACCTTTCGGGAGGGCAAGAACAACATCTCGAAGCAACCAAACGAAGAAAGGAAAAGTCTTGTGAAAGGCTTTTGCATTATCATCTTCTGAAGAAGCTTTGGCTACATCAGACGTTTCATTCCCTGAAAAAATTTGAATTCGCTGTGACAGCTTCACAATGTAGCTGAGAGTATTTTTAAAGTCAAGAAATTATGAAAAGACAAATCTGATTTTAAAATCAGTTTTTCAATCCACGAGAGTTAGATCACTGATGACGTCAAAATGTGGTAAGAACAAAAAAGTAGCACACGAGGCGCAGCCAAGTGTGTCACTGATGTGACACGTCCTCTGTGATCTATTACTGAACAGAACTTGGAATCTATTTGTTTTATATAATAAAGAATTAAAATATACGGAAAAAAAAGTTTTAATGATAACGTCATCTATACGTCTGTCCTCCAATTGATCATAAGTGAGAACCAATCAGAATGCGTACATAACCGAGCTTATTATATAAAATACTATGAACAGCACCTTTCCGATTTCATTTACGAACTAATCGTTCCAATATTTCAGTCTTTCTTAGATTAATTTTAAGACATACAGTGCTTAAAATGAGAGTTTGTGAATGCCCTGGCGTAAAATAATCATCAAGTTTTCATAAGCTTACAAAGCGAAACACCTCAGTAACTAAGGATACTCTAGTCCGTCAAGATCAGTCCTTGTCGGTACACCAGCAGAGTTGTAAATCAATACTGAGGCCAGAAGGATGGTCAATGTAAAAATACAGTGATCGTCAGAATGATCCCCAGATATGGCATCTATTCCCTCTGAATCCAATAACACCACTGTGAATTCCTGTCCGCTGGCGTCCTGTGGGTATTGATAATATAACAACTGAACCTTTTACGTCGAAGAAAATATCACAAGGAAGATAACAACATCAAAGATACAAAAAACTGAGAGAAAAAATATTGGTAACTAAAATGTAACATTTGATATTAGATACAGCAAAATTTCTTTTGCCATAATTTTAGTTTGACTATAAACGAGACCCTCAGCTAGCTTCTCCTAGCCTGAGAGCAGCCATTATTACAACAACAGTGACATCAACAGCAGAAAACAACATCAACCACATCAATAACAACAGCAACAACAACAGAAAGACAAACAAAAATGGATTACACAAAGATGTAGTATTTTACGATAAGTAATATTCTTTGGTTTTCATCAATATTTCTGTTTTGATTAAGACTAGATATAGACCAAGTTACTTCAAAATACAAATTTATCTGGGATCAGCAGCGAACACTGCTAAGAAACTTATGCAAGAGAATATGAATACCTTGCAATCAACCTTTTGTTCTCTTTGCTTTCACTTGTTATTAGGATTATCATTCTAATTTTTATCAATAACACCAACATTATTTTTTTCAGAATTTATTTGAAGCTAGTTCATTCCCTTTTCAAATGTCTTAAAAAAGAAATATACGGATAAGAAGTATTTTACCTGAAATTTTTCTGGTACAACCCACAACCATATGCCCATAGTCTCTGGGTCCAACTCATGTCCAAGGGGAAAAACTTCGCCTTGATCAAAAACTTTACTCAAGATGTAAGATTTACCTTTTCTACATGGACCAGCAATAGATACAACACACACTGGACCTACAACAAAATCCAGATCACACATTACAAAAAGCATGTTGTATCCAGCTAAAATGCTACATGCATAGGCACGAATCTCTCGCCACAAAATAGCCTTTTTAGCTCCGTAAAATCACTTTCATGGTAATAATATTATTCTATGATCATTCTCAAGCAATCCAAAACTTACCTTTAACACTCCTCAATCGTTCCAGGGCAGCATTCACAACATAGAGGCTGGTTCTTTCTTCTTCTTCGTTAGTGCTGTATTCCCCCGTCTGCTCGTCCCATTTGCAGTTGTTTGGGAGGCAGAGGGGAACGGCGCAGTTTTCCGACATCTTGCAAGTATATTAAAAAGGCGAAAATTCTTTGTTTCTTTTCCCTTTACACGATTTTGTCATCCAAAGCGGTAATTTTATTTCCTTTAAATTTAAATAATTTGAAAAGTGTTATATTGGATGATTAATGAAACAGAAACATAGGAATATGAAATTTACTAATTTTATCAGTAGAGTGTCTGCGAGTAATTCTATAATTTTCACCTTTTTAATGCGAATCAGTGAATTTCATCTTCTTGATTCCTTTTTTTTTTATGTGTATATGCACCTAACCACCAAAACCTTCCCCAGATTAACATGAACATTGTAAATCAAAAGGAAATTCTTGCCATCTGTTGTTGTCGAGAGCTCTAAATTTCAAAGCTAAAAAAATCACTTTGCTCCTGGATTGTTTTGACAACTGCATCCATTCTTCAAGTCATTATATTTACTTATCATGTTTCCCCGTTGGGAGAGAGAGGAAAGGTTGTCTCTCAACAATGGCAAACTCTACTACCGTAATCTGCATTTCAAAACTAACTCTAAGAGAGGTCGTCTTGATTAGTGAACACGTGAATTGTCTGTGCGATGCGAGTCAAATTTGCAAACCTCAACAATTGCCCAAATGGTTAACTAATGACTTTCATCTCAAAAATGTTTAAAGGATTCCAAGAAAGTTCCAGGGATTTGAATTAATTTGTTCCCGAATTAATTTGTTCCCAAATTAAAAACGAAAGCAGCCTCTAGTGATTGACCTCTACTTCCGCTTTACATATGCGAAACTTCGTTACTCAATTCAGTGGAGAACGAAATGTTTATGAACAAATTGATTCCTCTTAACGAGAAAGCGTTTAAATAATGAAATTTCTCGCTGAGTTTGGGGTAAATTGAAGCAGAAAGTCTGGTCCATGCGAAATGAACGAATTCTCAGTGATGTTTATCCGCAGAATAGCGTGATATGTCCACAACCACTACGCAAAAGAAATTAAGATTATTCTATTCAACGGTAATATTTATCTCCCTTTAAAACCCCAACCCTGAATTTTTTTCAAGCTGCATCAGAACTACATGTTACTAACATTATTGCATGTGTAGCAGACCGTATATTTTTAAGCCATATTTAAAGTTCTATCGAAGACATCTGACTTTAAATATTTGAGGCATATTTTTAAAACAAAGTAATCACAGTTGCACAGATAAATCCTCAAGTGAAACAGCTCACCTGTTACTTGGCTTAAACTTGCTTGCATTGAAATATTTAGAGCTTTCTTCGAAAACGAAAGTGTTCCGTTTTCGCCTGCACGTGGATCTTCAAAGAAAGGTGATCACGCCACCAGTGCATGATAGTTTCATTGGTATTTGCTATTTTTAGCTGTTTTCTTGTGTTGTCATCCTCAGCTGTTTCGAGGATTTAAATAACTTTCGGGGAAATACCCTTTGATAAAGTAGTATTGCGCATGCATGGTCTTAGAAAGTGAAAGTTTTCCTGTTTACGAAATTGCTATCTCATCATTATTTCAAAGGGCAAGACTTCTTGAATCATTTTACAGCAAGAAACTCCCGAAGCGTGTCATAGGATTCGCTGCTGTATCGACGAGTAAACCGAGGTAAGTTGAGGCTCACCAATGTGACTTGCTTCTTAAACCTTAATGCTTCCGCGAAGTGTGTTGGAGTAAAAGTATTAAAAAGAGTCGTCCAAGGTTTAATATGGTCAAAATTACTTGAAAGTCTGACTAGAGTCGAGAAGACTACCTTTCTCTAACTGCGACGAGTGCAAATGAGTGGCGAAGTGAAAATCAACTTGAGGTACATAAACGCTATAACGGCCGTTTGCAAGTAAACCTCTCTTGCAATCATCTAGATTTATAATTTCCTCCGTGAGTAAATTACGGATGTAAAATGCCGGCATAGACCCCTTTAGCAGGATATAAACCTCATAAAAATCATGAGAGATGGTTCGAAGAAACTGAAATTATTTACTTTTCTTCTTTCTTCGAATTAATATCAAGTACTGTTCTTCAAGATAGATGTAAGTCTCAGATATACCTTAAAAAGTACGCTTTGAATGGATCGATCGCTAAAGAAAATTTCAAAATCTAGTGCAACAAAGTTGTATTCAGTTACCTCTTATCCTCTCGAGAAATCCAGTCGATTCAATTCCCAAAACCTGAAAAGCTTCCGAGAAACCAAAACATAACATTAATCGCCTAAAAGATCTGTCACGCAAAACTTCGTATAGATTTTCATTTATGTCCTTGTCACTGCTTTCGGCTTGATCTCACGTAACTCTTGCAAACAACAAAATAGATTAGATTAGGACAAATGAATCCCATAAGGATATCTTTGCATCATTGATTCGAGTCAATTTGACAATTTTCGGTCATTGTTTATCGCAGCAATGAAAAAAAAATACACAGTTTTCGTTTAACTTAGAAATCGCTAAGAAAACAAACACTTGTACGTATTTAGGCAGTTTTTAATTGCTTCACTTATTCTCAGAAACAGTTTTTCGATGCGTAAGTGGCGCTCTCACTATGAGCGGTCTCTCGACCTATCGTCGAAAAAAAAGTTTTCTTTTATTTTTTGCCCATGAAAAGGGGTTAGGACATATATTTAAAAATTGTTTAGTTGTTCTTCGCGTCGTCCCAAGCCAAAAATGATTTTTCGGCTAGACCACCCGTGTGGACAGCGAACAGAAGTATAAATTTCACAGATTTTGTCGAGCGCATAGCGACTGTAATAGTATGGCTCACGGAATTCTATCTTGCTACAGGTTACAAGATGTATTCAGTTATTTCACAGACAAAATATGGAAACTTCACCTGAAATATTTTTCATACTAGCGTGGGGGAGACCCTTCTCTTCGACCTTAATTTGCGTATCAAAAATTCACCAATTTGTACGAAAGAATTTTCAAATGCAGGCGTTAATCGGGCTAAAAAAGTATGTCTGCGCATATTTTATACACCAATAAGGTCACCGATTGCCTCAAACACGCGGGAATATCATTAACTTTCATCCACCAACTTCTTAAACTGAAACGATTCAAATCCATGTGTTTGCTCAATTGCGCTCATGTCAAAGATTATTTGCATAATTCTAAAAATTGACCAAGATCTCCTTTGCACCGTTCAAACTTCGTTTGTTTATCTTCTGCGTTGAGGATCTTAGGTTTTCATAACAACTGAATGGAGAATACATGCCGTATATGCCGAGTTGTCCTTAAACGTTGCGAAACGTGAACGGTCGTAACGCTTGAACGCTTGCGTGACTTACAAAGTAAACAAGGGTGATCGTAAAGCGCCTTCTCGATAATCTTCGTTGAAATATCAGGTCATGAACTACACACAGTGTGGAGAAGATCAAAATTTAAGAATAAGATGTGGTGCTCTGGTCATTACAGACATATCGCGTAGCTTATAGGACATACAAACAAGTTAAAATACGTTACAGTCTTATTTACAAAACAACACGCAT